AAAATGGAGTTAGGAACTTTGTTTGAAAACATTTTCTCTTAAAAATACGTTTTACCTACACTCATAACCACAAAAATGAAAAATATCGTTTAAATCGAGTAGCTATTAAGAAATATGAATTACGCGGGTAAAAATTTACTTATATTTGGTCGAAAAATAATAATTTATGGTAGAAAAAAGTGTGCGACTAAATTGAAAATAATTTTTTTTAAACAAAAAGAACCCAGCTCGTGAGATTTGCCCATAAATATAAAATTAACTTTCACTAACAAAAACGCAAATGACATTAGTTTTGTCGACACGTGAAAGTCTTAAAAAATTTCAATAAGATACTCTTTTACGTGTGAAGAGGATGAATGGTTAATACCCTACTGAAAATCCCCACATAGGCTCCTATATAGGAACCCACATAGGCTCTTATATAGGAAGCCATATGGTTTCCTATACAAAATCGTATACGTAATTGGAACAGGAATTTGAATAGGAAATTAAGTAGAAATTATCATATGAATGCACATTATATCTTAATATCATGCGCAGTAGTTTTCTTCAACTTTTTCGGCTGCGCAATAAATTTTTTCATCTCTGTAGTCTATCAGGAACCTCTACTATTGAAAGATATATATCTTAGAGTTGAAAAAAAAAATTCATATTATAGGACTTGAAATAGGAATATACAGAGGAATGTACATTCCTGTGTGGATGTGGATTCATATGATAATTCTGACTTAATTTCTTATTCAAATTCCTGTTCCAATTACGTATACGATTTTGTATAGGAAACCGTATGGCTTCCTATATAGGGACCCATGTGGTTTCCCATATGGGAGCCTATGTGGGAATTTTTAGTGAGGTAGAATAAAAAAACAATAAAACAAAGAAAAACACTGCAACAATTTATCAGTTTATTAATATTTATTTAGAAAATGTCACTCTACAGTTCATTTTCTTTATTAACAATATAATTATGTATTATAAAATTTAATGCGAAATACCGCTATAAGTCGTTCGAATTCTAAATTCATTCTAAAGTCAATTTGTCATTTAAGACACACCTTCTGAGTAGTGGGGAAACCCTGCTACCTTTTAAACTCTTTCTTATTAATCGCTCAGCGAAAAGTTTATAATGTACCCAGATAGCACAACAATTTGCGACAATTTTGCAGCAAGTTGGCAATGCCAAATTGCAAGTTTGCATTGCCAACTTACTGCAAAACTGTGGCACATATCGATATGTCCACCCTTTTTAAACTTCGCAGTGCAAACTTGCTGCAAAATCGCTAGAAAAAAGCTGAATGAGTTTTCCGCAGAATTTCAAAAACAATTTGCTGAAAAATGACACGGAAAATTTTCTGAAATTTGAAAATGCAATTTTTGGGAAAATAAAATTTTTAAGTTTCCTTGAAAGTTATTATTTTAATTTCTGTACTATAAAAATAATTAAATCGTAGGAAAGAAGGAAGTAAAAAGAAAACAATTTTTTTGAGAAATAACGCTTTAAAAATTAATTTTTTTTTAAATTTAAATATAAGTTATATTACATAAAATTAAACAAACAATAAACAGATTATAATTCCCTAGGAGCTATGTGTTTCGTTTAATATTTATAATATAATTTAAACCTAAAATTAAAGAAAAGTAAACTTTTTATTAACATTTTATGAAAAGTGTATTAGAATTTAAAACGCAAATTATATTAAAATTTAAAAATAAATTTTTAAAGCGTTATTTCTAAAAAAATTGTTTTCTTTTTACTCCCTTCTTTTCCTACGATTTAATTATTTTTATTGTACAGAAATTAAAAAAATAACTTTCAAGGAAACTTAAAAATTTTATTTTCCCAAAAATTGCATTTTCAAATTTCAGAAAATTTTCCGTGTCATTTTTCAGCAAATTGTTTTTGAAATTCTGCGGAAAACTCATTCAGCTTTTTTCTAGCGATTTTGCAGCAAGTTTGCACTGCGAAGTTTAAAAAGGGTGGACATATCGATATTTGCCACAGTTTTGCAGTAAGTTGGCAATGCAAACTTGCAATTTGGCGTTGCCAACTTGCTGCAAAATTGTCGCAAATTGTTGTGCTATCTGGGTATTTCTTAAGTAATTTCGAGTATTTAATTCACTGGTGATTTTGTTCTTTTCAAAATCTACCGAAAATATAAATTATTCAGAAGTAGCTTAACTTTTTTTTAAATATTTACTTATAAGCAAGTTTACCCACGGAAAGACAGACCTCTAGAAAAAATAATTAATTAACATTTAAATAATTAAAATAATATTATTAATAATATATATACACACTGTAAAAAGAAAGTCTTATTTTAAGGCCGAGAAGAGGTCTTATTTTAAGAGGCACGGAAAAAACGAAATTGCTTGCAGATGCTAACTGATATTTAATATCTAATCTATCAAAATTATTAACCACAGCTAATTTTTTTGATATGACAACGAAAAAGTTTGCTCTAATAAACAATATCAGTCTTAAATTTTAAAAATTTACTGTCAAACTTTTTTGACCACACAACAAATTTGTTCGCTGTCCCTATATTAGCTAACGTAATTTGATGTGACAATAAATAGTTCGCACGACAGCAACCATTTTCTACGCGTGTGTAATTATAAATAGAAATAGGAAAATAATTTTAATATTGTCAACGTCAGTTATTATATTAGTTTGCTTTTAAAAGCAGAGAAGTGGTTAATTAAGTTATTATTTATTTTTATTTATTTAAAATTACAATGTTAAAGACCTAATTCGTCCGTACAGGGGAGTATCACAATGAGCTAACAAAAATAAATACACTCCTATTTTAATGTAAAATTATTCACTCATCACTCATTCCCACATGCGACTGCTCCAATGACTGTTCCGTGATATTATCTCGAAAGTAAAGGTTACTCGACATATGAATATACTCTCTGTCCTCTCCCCTCGTAGCCCTCTCGAAATCATTAAGTAGAGAATCCGAGTTTTTAGTTACATAGTCAAGTGAGAACGAATTCCATATTTTTAAACAATTCTATGAATTAAATATTTTCATGATTTGAGTATAACAATTTTTTCATGTTTAAAGAAGTGGCTGCATTTACAATTACTGAATTTAAAGTATTATCTAGTTGGTCAATGTCATTAACGGTTTTTGACATATCAAAAAGTTCTGTCATTAAATGGTAGTAATCATCGGTTTTATTTATATCGAAGGATAGTGTAAAATCTATAAAGTTATTATTAGTTTTTTTAGCATAAAGTTTATTTTGATTTCAAATCATGCCTAAGAAGTACACACATACCGGAAAATAGTGCGACTGAGTAACCAGCTAAATCACCTTCAAGTCGCTAATCAGATCTACGGCATTAAAACCAACCCATACCAAGTCAATTACACTTTCCTCCACCGAACTAAAAAATGTAATGTAATAATACAATATAAATCCATTGAATTCCAATTGTTGTACTAGAATATTGCCGTTACTATTATGAACATTATCTAATGACGTTCTGTTGTTTTTAAAATTGTAGTTATTCAATATAAAATCATTATGCAGTTGATTAAGATGCGTCACCTTACAATTAAAATCTCCCCCCCATTAATATCATATGGTCAGGAAAAGATTCCATTACGAACTCTAAAGCATACATATAATTTTTTAAGAAGGTTATAAAATTAAAATTAGGAGAACGGTACACCACCCCCAGTATAAATTTAGCATTTTTTGTATTAATTTTTACGAATATAAAACTATCTGAATCTATAATTTTCTTTCTAGTATAAAAAGCACTGTTATATAAAAACAATAACCCACCGCCGGCTCTACCAAAATTTGAGTATTTTTTGCAGGAATGTTAATATAATTATAATTCCAAACATTGCATGGAATATTTACCTTTTCTGTTTCTATCCAAATTTCATATAAACATACAATGTCACTGTGTTAATTTCATCCATAGATACACCTTCATTATTAATGTAGATTTTGTTGTTTTTGATAGTTGCTACTATATTTAGGTCCTTTAGCAGATGGACTTTTTCTTGTAATAATTTCCATGTAAATCTTTCCTCGACCAATCGATCTCTGGCGATATTTAACTTAAGTTTTTTATTATCGATTGCCTTTGAGAGAACAGCTTTTGACCATCATGACCCCACTAATTTGACAAGAACAGGACGAGTTAAATTTGAAGATTTTTTACCCAGTCTGTACATATCCTCCACTGCATAGTCAGGAATCTGAAGATCGAGTTTTGCGAAGATTTCTGACACCATTTTAAGCATATCAGCATCATTATTTTCTTCCTCTGGAATTTTATATTTTTTGCTCTTTATTGGTTGTCGATGAAAGAACTCCTTGTTTTCATTAAGTTCACATCTTCTTCCACTGCTTCCAGTCTATTGATTGCTGTCAGGTTATCCATGCGATATTGAGTGGACCTCATCTTTTACCTCTTTTTGGGCTTCGGTGAGTTTAGCTATCTCATTTAGTATCTTATTTAGCGAATGAAGAATTTTTTCTTCTGAATTATCCGCCATAATTTGGATATATTCACAACAGTTTTCACATTGACACTTGTAAGATTGACACAAACAGACTTCAAGCACTGTCAGTAAGACCACAACAAAACACGTCTGTACTGCTCGGCAACTCAAGTGCGACTCCTGGTTAATCAAATTATATAAGTAGGAGCTACAAATAATTGAAAAACTCAAGTTCGAGAACTTATTTTTACAGAAAAAACCCGGTCTCAAAATGAGTAGTGTACGCTATTTATTTAGCATTAACTCATTTTGAGTTGCAATAAAAATGAAACTAGGTTTTTTCTGTGTTTCTGCTGAGATCAGTTTATAAATAATGGTCACATACATTTTTTTTGGTTGAACCTGTAAATTTTGTATTTCAATTAGTATATACTATGACGACAAATTTCCAAAATAAACATAAATAAAACCTAATTGCTACATATAAATAAAATTAATTTAAGATTTACAAAAGAAACTTATTTTCAGATTCCAGAAAATTAAAAACTTTGGTCCAAGTGCATCCGTTGTAAGCTTTGCCTACTTTCAAGCTTTTAAATTTCCGGATAGCATGAATGTCCATTTTCAATGTGTAATTCAAGTATGTCGTTATAACTGTCCAGAACCCAAATGTGGTCATTTAGGAATTGAGTATGGCGGACAAGTTGCAGGTATCCCGCATGATTATGGAACATCAGTACGACAAGGACTTTCCTCTGAATATGGATCACCACCGGTACCTGAATATGGTGTTCCTCCTGCATATCCTGATCCACGTCATCCAAGTGGACCAGCAGGAGCATACAGGTATAATTATAAAATTACAATAAAATTAATCAGATTGTATTACCCCTATTAACCTGCAAAAAATAGGTATTTCATTGATTCAATAGTGTAATAATCTATCTTTTAAAACTTTGCGATTCACTTTGTAATATCCTATCCGCTTAAGGGGAGACAAAACCTTTATTTTAACCCCTTAAAATTTTAATGATCGCAGGATGCTACATTTTTTTATTGCATCATTTGGGTTCTAAAAATATACAAGGTGGTAAAAAAAGAAAATCTTAATTTTTGACAATTTTAGAGTATACCCAATGGGAAATTTCCCAATGCTTACGAATGGTTCAATATTGGTCCACGATTAGCAGACAATCTTTTTTTCTTGGTAAAACTATTGGCACCCAATATTGGACCGCGAATGTCAAAGTCTTGGGATGATCACGCCGTTGCCAATCATTGGTAGACAATATTGTTCCATCATTGGCATCCAACGCAAAAAACGGATTCTCAAAAGCTTGGTTATTAATTAGCTATAAAGATTGGGCCAGTTTTGGTAACCAATCATTGGTTATCAACAATGGTCCAATATTAGTAGCCAATTATTAACCAAGCATTTGATTATTTGTTATATGGCTTGGCAGCCAATGAAAAATTAATATTTGAGATCTAATAATGACAATATCATCCAAAAATTTAATAAAACGTGTTCCGCTATTGACAGCCAATAGTTCGACAAGAAAAGGATACAAAAATTTAATTCAATTCATTTCACATATGGAGATAATTAAAATATCTCCGGCAAAGTGTGAAAAAAATTGAATTCTGATTTCAACGACAAAGAAATCTGTTCTAATATAGTGTGAGGGTAACACCTTGATTGCGAGTGGAAACTACTACCACACACCCTATACGCCACTTGTCTGAATTATTGTCGTGCGCGCAACTTTCGACGCAGCGCGGGAACCTTCAAATGTGATTTCAAATATTCTGTGAAAGATTTAATAATTTTTTATTACAATACATTTTAAAAAATCAATGTAATTAAAAAAATAAAATAATATTTAAAAAATTTATTTTTTTTAAATCCCAGCAAACACGTTCTATAAATGTTATATAACATTGAGGACATAGTTTTATAGATCATTTGTTATAAGTTGATTATGAAACTGTTATATAACCTCATTATAACAGAATTCTAGAACATTGTTACAAGAAAGTTACCGATCTGTTCTTGTTGGAATTATTAGGTTTAAAAATAAACTCACACACGATTATTCTTTATTTGAAATATTAAAATTTAGTGACGTTGAACGAAAGTAGACAAAATGTACACAAGAGCGTGATTAAGGCTGAGGTCTTAAAGTTACAAGTTACTCTTCGAGGAGCTAGACCTGTACTACCTAGGAAAGGTTTGTCATAAAAACTAATTGCTCCCTTCAGGTACAAATTTTCCAGACCTAACTTAAGAGTAGGGGGTGTTCATCTAAGTTGAGAGAAACCAAAAATCAAATAAAAATCTAAATACAAAATTCAACAGTTCTATATTATGCGAACTTCGCAGTTCTATAACAATGTAACGTAACATTTTTGTAACACAATCATCACAAATGATCTGTTACTGTCGTTCCAACGTAGTTCTAGAATTGTGTCCGAAAAAATGTTATGAAGCTGTTCTAAAATTTTGTTGCAGATTAGTTCTGGATGACATTTGTACCTACAAATCGGAACAAGTCTGCAACAGTATTACATAACATATCTATAACACACTTTATATTTAAGCAATATAGTTTTTAAATCCTCCTCAGTCGCAAGTTATCAAATCAAATTATCACCCATAGGTTCTTAACCAGTTACAGAACATGTTCTCAAAAAATTTGTAACAGTTCAATTAATTTTGAAAATAATTATTTACAATATAATTCAAAATTTTTTTCCAGAATCAATAATTTTTTAATTAAAATTTAATTATTAGTTAAAAATACTAATTTTCACAAATAATTTTATTCAAAAATTGTAAAACAAGAAATTTATTCTCAAATATTTCTAAATGTACATATTTTGGGTTTAGAAAATCTTTTATTTAACATATGAAATATAACAAACTAAAAACTTACGTTTTTCAGAATTTCAATCACAATACAGTTATTTTAATATTGGTCCACATAATGAAATAATATTTTTTAAAAATATTTATAATATTAATAAAAATTATTTTATTCAATCGAATTGTTTTTAATTTTAAAAATAACTATTTTACAAAATAATTCCAGATTTTTTCAGGATTCATTTTTTGAATTTATAATTATTTATTTAAAGTGTTAATTATGAAAAAATACTAATTTTTATAAATAATTTATAATTATAATTTAAAAAAAGAATCCTGAAAAAATCTGGAATTATTTTGTAAAATAGTTATTTTTAGAATTAAAAACAATTAGATTAAATAAAATAATTTTTATTATTATAACAAACATTTTTTAAAAATGAATTTTTTTTTAAATATTATTTTATTTTTTAATTATATTAATTTTTTTAAAATGTAGTGTAATAAAAAATTATTAAATCTTTCACAAATTGTTTGAAATCACATTTGAAGGGTTCTCGCGCTGCGTCGAAAGTTGCGCTCACGATAATAATTCAGACAAGTGGCGTATAGGGTGTGTGATAGTAGTTTCCACTCGCAATCAAGGTGTTACCCTCACACTATATAAGAACAGATTTCTTTGTCGTTGAAATCAGAATTCAATTTTTTTCATACTTTGACTTTTTTTGGTAACAGGAGATATTTTAATTATCTCCATATGTGAAATGAATTGAACTAAATTTTTGTATCCTTTTCTTGTCGAACTATTAGCTGTCAATAGTGGAACACGTTTTATTAAATTTTGGGATGATATTGCCATTATTAGATCTCAAATATTGTTTTTTCATTGGCTGCCAAGCCATATAACGAATAATCAAATGCTTGATTAATAATTGGCTACTAAGATTGGAGTATTGTTGATAACCAATGATTGGCTTCCAATACTGGCCCAATCTTTGTAGCCAATTAATAACCAAGCTTTTGAGAATCCGTTTTTTGCGTTGGATGCCAATGATGGAACAATATTGGCTACCACCCGGATGAAAAAACTTGTACAAGAAAATTTACAAGTTCATTAATGAACTTGTACATTTTCTTGTACATGTTCGAGTAATGTTCTTGAACAAGTTCAGCATCCGGAAATGAGACATGTTCTTATACCAGAACTTGTACAAGATCCTGGACAAGAAAATATACTTGTACAAGAAAATGTACAGGTTCTTGTACATATTTTTTGTGCAGGTTTCATGTATATTTTCTTGTACCAGATGTGGAACATGTTCTTGTACATGTTCATTTATGTCTTTTAAATTAAAAATTAATAACTTTAAAGGCTGCGCAGTAGTTTTCTTAAGCCTTTACAGCTGCGCAATACTTTTTAGCATGCATAAGTGACGAGTCTTAATAATTATAATTTATTAAAATTTCAAATTTTTTTCAAAAACATTTTTAAACAAATGCTCTTGTACAAGAACATAAACGTGTTCATGTAAAAGTACTTGTACATGAAACCTGCACAAAAAATATGTACAAGAACATGTACGTTTTCTTGTACAAGTATATTTTCTTATCCAGGATCTTGTACAAGTTCTGGTACAAGAACATGTTTCAATTCCGGATGCTGAACTTGTGCAAGAACATTAATTGAACTTGTACAAGAAAATGTACAAGTTCATTAATGAACATGTACAAGAACATGTACATTTTCTTGTACAATTTTTTTCAGCCGGGCAATGATTGGCAACGGCGTGATCATCCCAAGACTTTGCCATTCGCGGTCCAATATTGGGGGCCATCATTGCACCAATATTGGAACGACTGGCTCCCAATTTTGGACCACTATTAAACCAATGGTTTATTTCCCATTGGGTATAGTTTTGAAAAAATTAAGATTTTTCAGAATGGAACTGCTTTCACAATTTTCACTATTTTTGATCGTCATGTTTTTTTTAATTGTTTAGTATTTCTCGCATGGATTTAAAAAAATTTTAATTTTTGGCGAAAGGAAAAAAAAGAGTTGAAAAATCATTGACCTTTTCTCTTAAATATTTAACTACTTTTACAATTTTGACAATTTTTTCACACTCTTGTGTCTCCCCTTAATAATCCTAACGCACAGTGGTTGAAGTTAAGGGGTTATAGCAGGACATCCGGCGACAATGATAGTAAAGTCTTGGAGACATCATAAAGACAACTAAAAAACGTCCATAGGAGCTTCTATGTCTGATCTAAAAGATGTTAAAAAGACATTTAAAAAGACGTCTAAAGCAAGTCTTAAACAGGTCTTTTGGACGTTATTTTCATATTCCTTCAGATATTCTTAAATATAAATACATACATTTGGATGTGTATTAATGTGTGTACAAGATGTCGAACAGACCAAGAAGTTTCCAGGAAGTTTTCATTGGAAAGTTTGCATGTTTCCAGTGGAAACTTCCTGCAAATTACAAATTTCCTCACTGTTTAAAGTTCACAGAGTCAACTTCCTGGAAATTTCCGATATAAATTTGTTGGAATATTGCACTGAAAATGTTTTGCAATATTAAAGTATATAGGGTTAGTTGGGGTAAATGGAGACAAGAGGTTTTGGAGCTTAATTTACAGTTTTAAAATAAGGTTCAACGTCAATATTTTAACCTCAGATCACCTGCAAGAGGTGTTGAGTAATGCCAAGCTTTTATCTTGACAATTGGCAGCAAGATAATTCAAGTTATTGCTCAATGCATAAAAACTTGAAATTCAAAGTCAAACTATTTCAGTATTTTGTCGAGCATTTTAAAGAAACAGACTTAAAAATCATACCAAATTTTTTTCTTATTCCTTATGACTCCTTTAACAAAAATTCACATGAATTTTTTATTTTTGTCAATTTGGTTAATAATGACAAGCTGTCCTCATTTACCCTGAGTTTTCAAATTTTTGGGGTAAATGGGGACAGCTT